CTTGAAAGGGCCAATTAATTCAAAATAGGGATTCAAATAAAAGATTAACAGTTTTAAAAAATATATTCTACTCTTTAACAGATCTGATCATGGCATGGTTCCTGTTTGCTGATGCCTGGGGTGAAACATTCAATCCACCTGTAGTGTGCAGTTTGAGGTGTGGTTTTGTTTGTGTAATGATAAATATATCAAAGTATTTTATATGCTGATTAACTATACCTGTCTCAACTAAAGATTTGTTTAATTGACAGGTCCTCTTCAAATATTATTCTTACGATTTTTCGTAAGTGAAAGGAATCCTGGTGTACAGCATACATAATGATTTCTATAATAGACTGCATGTTTGCAATAGCAAAACCGAGTGTCAGTAGATCATGCCTTCTTTTGGTGTCAGCTTAGCTTCAGGCCACATCCATTCTTAATCCTGTACTACTGATGCCGATGCATTCCAAAGTGCGTCAATCTGATACACTGAAGTGTTACATTTTATTTGTTCATTAGCTCTACAAAGTTCAGCTACACCATAATAGATTTTCATTTACAGGTCTTCTTTATCTGTTATACATTGATATTGAAAACTTCTGCTCAACAGCATACAGTATATGTTCCTCAGTAGACTGCATGTTAAACGCTTTGGTAATGCAGAGTGACATGGGGACATGCCTTCTTTGATGTCATCTTAGCCTCAGGCCACATTAAGTCATTATGTTTTACTTCTGTCAGTACATTCAATCTGAGCAACAAAGATTAGGTGAATGTTCAAACTATATTTGGAGCAGCCATAGGTATTTTGTCAAAGAAGCTCTCGATAGTGTTAGCAAGTCAAAATCAAGCTTCCATTCTTCATTTGTCATTTTGTAGATTATGTAGAATTTGTAGATTTTTATTCCACAGGCTGCTATGAGGCTGCACTGCACAACAAGTTTTTATGTCAGATGGTTTGATTAATGTTTGCTATGTGACTAGACAGTGTGTATGTGTGGGGTTTCAGGTAGTTACAAGACTTATTGGGGTTTATTTACTAAAGACATATAAGCTGTTTATTTTGAAAGGGGATTTTCCCTAAGCTTAGCTATTCACACAGTGAATAAAGTGAATTTCTGATTACTTCCTTCATCCAATAATGTGCATTTTCTTTTTATTTTACTTGAACATGATTGGGTATTCTTTGAATTTTCGCCACATTTACTAAGCTCAGGGAAAATTCCCTTTTGAAGTGAGAATTGAACAGCCTATTTGCCTTTAGTAAATCAACCCCATTGTGTTGACTGACCTACCCTGTATTGAGGACTTCCGAATGAACTAATGTTACTGTATCCACTAAACTAGGGAGTGGATACTGGAATCTGCATTTTTTCCCATTTATTTGGTGTTTTGCTTAAAAACTATTATTTATAATACAAATATGTTTTTGTACAGAAATGTAAGATATGTGGGCAGGTTAAAAACCTTTAAGGGAATTACTTTTTTTATTTGTTCATAGCAGAATCAGCTTTGGCATGCAGTGTGAAATTTCTATACTCTTGTTCTTCATTCAGTGCATTCCAGGCAGCAAGCTACTTCAGGATGCATTGCCTTTTAGGTAGCCTTACATGTACATTGCCAAGTCACCACATGGATTTAGCTGAGCAAATACGTAAAAACCTTCCGTGGGATAATTAGTCTAGGTTCGGCAACGTTATATCCCCCAAAAATGAGGCCAGCTGCCTACCTGAATATACCAAATGACCAGGTTTTTCCATCAATGGTTTTTTTCTTCTCTGGTGGCACAGGCATATTCCAAGATGACAATGACAGGATTTGTTGGGCTCAAATTGTAAAAGAGTGGTTCAGGGAGCATGAGACATAATTTTTACACATAGATTGGCCACAGTGTCCAGACTTCAATACCACTGGTAATCTTTGGGATGTGCTGGAGAAGACTTTACGCAGTGGTCCGACTCTCCGATTATCACTAGAAGATCTTGGTGAAAAATGAATAGAACTCTGGATGGAAATAAATGTTGTGACATTGCATAAGCTTATCAAAATGATACCATGGTGAATTCGTGCTGTAACCAAAGATAAAGGCGGTCCAACGAAATGTTGGAGTTTTTTTAGGGGGACAGGCAGTGTATTTATTACAGGTATTTATATAGCGCTGTCAATTAATGCAGCACTTAAGGGGCATTTACAATAGCCCCTGCCCTCAATGAGCTTACAGTCTACATACTAGGGTCAACTTAGACAGGAGCCAATCAACCTACCAGCACATCTTTGGAGTGTGGAAGGAAACCATAGTACCCAGGGGAAACCCCACCACACACAGATAGAACATGCTAACTCACTGTGCTGCCCAGTTTGTGTGTATGTATGTATATATATATATATACATACACACAAATATATATATATATATATACACACACACACACACACAATGGGCAGCACAGTGAGTTTGCATGTTCTACCTGAGCTTGCTGGATTTCCTCCGGGTTGATATATACAGGCAGTCCCCGGGTTACGAACAAGATAGGGACTGTAGGTGTGTTCTTAAGTTGAATTTGTATGCAAGTTGGAACAGGTAAATTTTTTAAGTGTAACTCCAGCAAAAAATGTTGTTGTTGTTGTTGTTTTGGATAGCATAGGTAAGGGTTAACCCCCTGTAAAGTTTGTTTTGCTGTGTGTGCCCCTGTTCAAAACATTTCAGCTCACTTTCTGTCCCTGTGACAATTGGATTTTGAAAATGTTGGGTTGTCATGGAAACAAGGATTGGTGATAAAGCTTCAGTGGAGACACCTTTTTCACATGGTAACTCTTGCAGGAGTGAGCTTCCCTTCCTAGGGGTAGATTTCCTCTCGCTTCCTGTTGTCTCAAGGACAGAAAGTGAAACCCAAGGGTAGGCGTCGAGAAGATTTGTTCTGGGCATAGACGGAACATGCAGCCACATACGTGGCAACATCAGTGCGGAGAGATGGCCACCAGAACTGACGGGAAACAGCCCAAGACATCTGGTTCTTACCAGGATGACCGGCAATCTTGGAATTGTGGTACGTGCGCAACAGTTTGATGCGCAACCCCTCCGGCACAAAACATTTGCCAGCAGGTCTCCCAGTGGGAGCATCGGACTGGGCGGCCAGGATCTGTTCCCCAAGGGGAGAGGTCAAGTTGGTGCGGATAGCAGCCAGAATATGATCGGAAGGTATGACCGGCATCGGCACGGAGTCCTCCCTGGACAACTCAGAATACTGGCGAGACAAGGCATCAGCCTTAACATTCTTGGAGCCGGGCAAATAGGAGACCACATAGTTAAAACGAGACAAGAATAAGGTCCATCTAGCCTGACGGGGTGTAAGCCTCTTGGCCTCCGAGAGATACGTCAGATTTTTATGGTCGGTGAGAATGAGGACCAGAACCACCGAACCTTCGAGCAAGTATCTCCACTCTTTGAGGGCCAGGATGATAGCCAAGAGCTCTCTGTCCCCAATCTGGTAATTGCATTCTGCTGGAGACAGCTTCCTGGAGTAGAACCCACAAGGAAGTAAGGGTCCATCAGGTGTCTGACGCTGTGACAGGAGTGCGCCTACTCCTGTCTCAGATGCATCCACCTCTAGGACAAAGGGCAAACCAGGATTGGGATGAGACAGTATCGGAGCCGAAGCAAAAGCAGACTTGAGGCCCTCAAAAGCCTGGGAAGCAGCAAGCGTCCAATTGTGGTGATCGCTGCCCTTCCTGGTCAGATCGGAGATGGGTTTGGCCAAACACACCAGAAAAAACCTCACAGTGACCCGGAAAGAAGAGGTGGGCACCCCTCGTGTGCCCATGTAACAAGAGCCAACTTCCTGCAATGTACGTACAGTACTAAGATACAGACCCAAAAAGGCGGGCACCCCTCGTCAGTACGAGTGTGGTAGCATTACAACTACCTCTGCTGTACAGCAATAGCCTCCATTTGTAAGTAGGAGTCGAATGTAAGTCAGATGTATGTAACTCAGAGACTGCCTGTATATCAACTGCATTTTTCATTTTTTGAACTGGGAAGAAAACTGTTAAATGGATTCTTTAAAACCATTGCTGTGCAAGTTGTAGAGTTGGTGGTTAATGAGATCCTGCCACCAAACTTAAATGATTGTAGGTAAAAGCACAGAAAAATCAAGTAAATGCTTGCTTGCAGTGTTTTTCCTTTCCATAAATGATTTTTATTCACTTGAAATATGCATCTGAACTTGCTTGCAAATTTACCTACTTCAGGAAAGTAAATTCCCTATTACTGCCTGCCTCCCCTCCTTGCATGTTGTAGCCCTCTCCTCTAATTACTCTCTGTGCTGTCTAATTACTGCCTGTACTTCCCCAGCATCTCTACCCCTTCTCTCACCTTTCTACATAACCTTTTATGAAGGGAAATACTATTGTGTGTCACTTGAGTGACAGCTCTGAGTTTGCTGGGGCTGCTGACATTACATCTAAGATGGCTATGCCCAGCAAACATCTCAGGACTATTTGATGTCTACAAAAGGGAGGCTTTTACTGAAAAATACCACACATTAAATGTACATATAATCTTATGGAAAGATTGTTCTTGAAATGAATGGCCTGTTGTTAATGGTCAAAGCAACTATGATTACATCAGTTTTGCTTCAATGTGTTAAAAGCAATTGCTATCAAAACCATTTCCAGTTTTGTGTAGTTGCTGGTGAATTAATGCAACCTGTGCTTTGCCAATGCAGGCTAAGTAACAGGTTCATGTTAAAGTCCACTCCTCCAGCAGCACATGCCCATTTTCCTTTGTCTTCCGGGAAGTGAGAGGAAACCTCTCAACCTGAGTATCGGAAATATATAAAGCTAAAAGGTGATCCAAACCATCTGTTTCTGCCCAGAACTATTTTAGCAATTTTTAGTAAAGTTGTCTGTTAATTATGTAATTTACATATACTTGGTTCAGCCCTTCTGATGCCCTTTTTGTCTCTATTATTTTTTCTTTACAGAGCACTGAAAAAATATGTTTTTTTAAAAAAGTGTTGGAATTTTATACATTAGTAAATGAAGAGGTATGGACCAAGAAAATCCCAGAGCAACACGTCTGTGAGCTGCACAATCATCTAGTATATTTTGAAGACAACTGTCTACAATGTGTAAGTACAGTTATGTAACTGGCTGTTGTACTGTGCATTCCCATGTAATGTGTTTTATAGTCTGCTATCACATCAACACTAAATCCTCACACTGACTTGTTGGTGGGTTGGCTTATATACAGGGCCGGATTTACTCCCCCTGCCGCCCCAAGGCCAGGTTCCACAAAATATATATAACAGTTCATGCACATGCAGTTAAGACACTTGACATTAAAGAGTGGTATTTTGAGAATGCAAGGACGGGGATATTCTGTTCTTTAAAGGATTAGGCAAGCTAAAACAGTAAAGTGGACTATACACTTTGTGAATTTTGACCGGTTCTTGATGAAGCAGCTGAAATTCACTGCATGAATGCCGCTGTCGGCACCCTTCTGCCTGGCATCCCTCGATCAGCTGATGAAAAAGCTCAGTAAATATACCTGCAATTCTTTCTAATGTAACATTTCAGCTTCTAGCTTTGTGGTCGGCGGGCACTTTCAGAATACAATAGAAACAGCAAGAGATTCCATGATCAATGCTTGTAAGCGTTGATGGTAGAATTTGTTCTATTTTTTTCATTCAGCCCGCAGGTTGACCGAAAAAATAGAACCATGTATAACCGACTTAATGGTGATTTTTGTATACTTTACAATATTATAGAAAGATTTTGTTTGCTAATAAATACCTCTACTATCATTGACCTTGGAGTTGATGTAACATGTATGTGTATATACAGTATATATTAATTCTCTTAAGTACAAAACGGGGTCTCAAAAAGGGGAAAAGGGTGGCGGATCACAGCTAAGTACATTTCCAAGGTCTGTCAATACCCAAATTGACATGGAAAGAAAAACCCTCACAGAGATGCACACCTTGGAAATATCAATATCACATTAGAATATATTAAAAATATTCACTCTTTATTAATGCATCTTCATATAATGAGCAAATATTGTATGGCTGCCCTAATTTACATACATTACAAACTATATATAAAAAGAGATTTAAAATTTTTATTTTTAAAAGAAACATATTTTATTCATGTAATATAGTCAAGAGTAGAAAAAAATCTTAAATAAAACAGACATATTGTATATGCATATAAATATTATTCCACGCTATGGGTGACTAAATCTAATAAGGATGGCTAAATCTAATATGAGTGCAGGAAGCTGCTGTACTATAAAGTGCAATGACAAATATATATAATAAAAAGTGCACAGCGCTACCAATAATGTGACAACATTAATGCTTCTCACAATGTACAAAAGTGCTTTGTACATTATTGGTAGTGCTGTGCACTTGTATATTATATATTGTATATGTATATTTTGTATTTTTGTTTCTTGCAGGTAGCTTTGGACTCCTTTTCACATGTGTACTGATATTTTTACCTACACAACTGAATGGGTCAGAGGAGTGAATCATTCCCCATACTTCACCTCTTCGCTTGTTTTGTGCAAAAGGGGTTGAACAGGGTATAAGAGAGAGAGGGAGAGAGAGAGATGCTCTTTATATCCAGTATTAAATATTGGTTAAATATTTCTAAAACAAAACATGTACATTAAAAGTAAATCAGAAACAAAATAGTTTTAAAAGTTATAAAAGTAAACAAAAAAATAACCCAAATCCATTATGGTTTTCCTTGTATAGTATAATAAACTGTATATATAGAACATATAGATTCCCTGCAACACTTCATTGTGTAAACTGATCCAAATGGAAGTAGAGGTGAGGCACTTCAATAGGAAATTTCTTATGGCAAAACGCATTACAGAATGTGCAAAATCGCTTGAAATGTGCATTTCCAGGTGCTTACCATTGAAGTTTATAGGACCAAAAAGCGATGTAATTTAATGAAAAGTAGCCCATATACTTTTTCCAGGGACAGGCATTTTTTTGATTGCAACAAAATGCTCAGCTGTGAACAGGGGCAATAGAAATTAATGGGATTCCTTGTCTTGAGCGTTTTGTCGCACTCACGACAATCAAATGGGATTCCTTGTCTTGAGCATTTTGTCGCGCTTAGCTTTTTGTGAAAAAATACCTAGGTGTGAAAGGGAGCTAAGAGCAAGCGGGTTCCAAGGATCAGGCGAGTTTAACTCTGTTATTTTTGAATCTGGACACAAATGAGCACTTAACCCCTGCAGTACAGTGGTAGCCCCACTGCAAGGGTTGAGAACATTTTTCCCCTGAGCTTTGCTTTAAGAGTCCAAAATTGTATTTTAGTAATCTACAGGTCTTTGAGGTTGTCAAAAATCTGATGAAGGGGGATTGTATGGCCTCAGAAATGCATTGGCTGTTACTATTGTTTCTGTTACTTTTGAGATACCAATAGATTAATAAAATACAGTTTTGGACTCTTGAGACACTTTACTGCTCTTTTCTGATTTAACTCCTTATATAAACAAGGCAGTGTTATAATTGTGTCATTTGTACCACCTTAGTTTGACAGATGTAGTATGCTTGCAGTGCAGCAAAGCACCCAGGTTGCTTTGACATGCGGGAGTATTACAAATCGTTTGTATTTAGCTGCCAGAGGGTGGCAGCTTTAATTTGGCTTCATAGGGGGGAATGTTTGTTTTGAATGGAGCTGACCTTTAGAGCTGAACTTCAGAAAAACAGCTGAATATGAAGATTAAATACATACTGTAAATGGGAGTTGTGTTACCTGCCAAAGTATTTGTTATTCTGTCCATTCATTTCTGAGATTTAATCAGTTTAGTAACACTTACAGGTCTTGTCTGTGAAAGGAGAAGCAACAGACCGATCAGCCCAGGTCTCTTTCAATCTGTTCTCTCCTGCTATCAGCACGTCCCTTGTTAGTTTAGGAGCCTTGATGCTCAACTGGAAACTGATGACAACATAATGCTAAACAACTTGTATGATTTAAATTTGCCTAACTAATTCGTAATTAATTACAAATGTTTAAAATAATATAATTCTATACTTGTTTGAAATGAGAGAGAAGTTATTTACTGTTTCAATAAAACTAAGAATGTTTAAATGCTAATCAACTTCACATTATATTATTAAAGGAAGCATGTCAAGAAATATTCGGAAATAAGACACAACCAAAGAAGGTAAGAGGTGAAACACACTAGTTACAAAATAACATGGCAATTATTGCTCAGTGATTTGTTTGGTTAATATTACATTGTCCTTATTTACATTAGATCAATCTCTTTCTTAGTACTTCTCAATATGTATAATCATGAAGTACTTACCTTTCAGATGAGCAATAGCAATGCTTGAGAAACAGCTGAGACATCGTTCTGTTCAAAATGCTGCTTTATGCAATGACATACCTTAGTTGGTATCTCATTACACTGGAATCCACAAGCGTAGCAAAAGATTAGGATCAGCAGCAGACAAGAGAGTTGTCTGTTAAATGTAGCATAGGTTCATGATTAGCGGCAAACAAGACAGGTATCCCTTAAACATAGTAAGGGATCAAAGAGACCGCATACTAGTAATGCAGGAGCACTTGATCAACAGGAAAATTCTATCAAAAGAACGGAGGCACAGAGTAATGAGACTTAAATCAGGTGCCTCTGAGCCATGGCCAAATGCAGGCAGAGGGACGTGTTGCCCACAAAGCCGACAGCTATACCCAGCAGCAGGCTAAGTGGATGTAAAAAGCTGTACAAAGGGCAAAGCCCACAGCAAAAAATTAGGGGGTGGCATAAGGCTGCATAACACTGACTCAGCAAAATCCACAACAGCTAAATTCTTCAAAAACACACAAAGGTTAATCAAATGTAGCTTTACTTCAGATAAGTATAGTATATGTGTTTCCAGTGTGTAAGAAGACAATGACTTTCCTATCTTTTCTCTGCTTGAAAAGTGAAACTGAGTAGTAGAGTCAGGGACAGGGAGTGTCTAGCTAGGGGCTGTACTAACTAGTACCAAACAGGAGTGGGAACAGGGAAATATATCAAGGGCACAAAAATCAAACAGGATTCTGCGGCAGCATACTCTCCACCTGGTATTAGTAGATAACACTATTATTAATAATGCAATGCATTGCAATGACAATACACATAGAATATAGTCCATAGATGTCGATAACTTGTCCACTGGAATTAAAAAAGAAAATGAAAGAGAAGGCATGCAACCATAGATACATAAGTTTATTGAAGCTCTAATTAGGTCTTCTGATCTGCCTAAATTAGCGTGGAACAGTCCCTGAAGCATTAGGCCACTTTTACGAAGGTAAGGATTGCTAAGTATCTTATGAGTAGAAGTCAGATAGTCTCTCTAGTTGATTGAGAGAACTTCTTGATAAGTTAATCCTTAGATCCTTAGGAGGTTGTGCTTTCAAGTTTTTAAAAAAAAAAGGATGTTCATGTATGATGACTTATGTATATGACTCCAATTAGCTTTCACTGTTAGCAGAGTTAATTATATGATGCTTAAGCTGTCAGCTGTATCAGCTTTGATCTGCGCTCCAAATCTTTGGATCTCTCATTAAGAATTTCTAAGTTAAAAACTTACCTTTTTACTGTTGTCAGGTGTAGTTTTAATGATGACAGAAATAGCCTGGGGTTGCAGCTGGTCCTCTGCGAACAACTCTAAAATTTCCGATTGCCTTTTGAAGTTTCACTCTTGTTTCTGTCAATAGTAGTTTGAGACTAGCCCATCTCAAACTCAATAGTAGGGAATAGCCAGTACAGCAGCCCATCAAGTTGACTGAACCGAAGGGCTCCAGCGGCCGAAGAGAGCCAAAGGATCAGCCGAAGCTACGTCTGGATCCTTGGACTCCTTCGTGAATAACCTCCTATATTTTTAATAAGGCCTAAAAATCTGCTCAGAGGCTACCTGAGCATTCCAATTGGCTTGCATATAGTAGAGAAGGTTAAAACCCCTTTTGCATGTAAAAAGACATCTCTTCAAAAGTGAGGGTAATCCTCTCTTAGACAGTTGTCACTGGAATAATTGTTCTCATTGGACATTTTACCCTGTGTTCCTGTTATTGTGACCACTCAGAATTTTGGATTTTCCCTCACTTTCAGACCCAGAGACAATGGGCACCAGGAAAGAAAGGGTGAAGCTAACTAACATGGAAAAAAAGCAATAAAAACCTTACAGAAGTTTTAACCCTTCTCTACTCTCAAAAACAAAACAAAATGTCTGTGAAGGTTCGCATTCATCCAGGTCATGTTATAGCTGTAAAAAATAAGTCAAGGCAACTGGACTTTCTGTAATTTTTCTTGAAGACATTTCACTGGTCATCCAACCAGCTTTCTCAATTCAGAATGACTTGTACAAATAATTCTCTGGGAATAAATATGGTGGATGTCGCTCCAATCCACATAATCTGTTAGTCACAACCAGGTGTTGATTGCATTTGCATAATTGGAGTCTAGGAGGCGTTATTAATCTGCCCAGAGAGAGGAGTTAAAACAGCATTGTATGTGGCAGACAATAGATGTCTCACCCCTTCACCTCTAATGCCCCCCCACCTCTGTCCAAGCTTGGCTTCTTAATTTTTACATACATGGCCTCTTTCACACCTCTTTTAAACCAGTCCTCCTCCCTGTCTAGGATGCATACTGGGTCTCAGGAGGCTGTGCGGGGTGTCAGGTGGCTGTGCGCGGTCTCAAGAGGCTGTGCGTGTTCTCAGGAGGCTGTGCGTGTTCTCAGGAGGCTGTGCGTGTTCTCAGGTGGCTGTGCGGGGTCTCAGGAGGCTGTGTGGGGTCTTAGGATGGTAGTGTGTGGTCTCAAGTGGCTGTTTGGGGTCTTAGGAGGGCTGTGCAGGGTTTTAGGAGGGCTGTGCGTGGTCTTAGGGGTGCTGTATGGGGTCTCAGGAGGTTGTGCTGAGTCTCAGGTGGCAGTGTGGGGTCTTGGGAGGCTGTGCGTGGTCTTGGGAGGCTGCGTGTGGTCTTAGCAGGCTGTGCGGGGTCTTACCAGGGGTCCAGTCTCATGGGCGAGTGCAAGCAGCGTGGTTTCGCAAAGAAGGAGATTTGCAGCCTGTTAACAGGCGCTGCGGTTCACAGGATATCTGCTGAGGTCCCCTGCTTCCCAGGGACCTCAGCACCCTTCCTGTGAACTGCTGTGGCAGTTTACAGTTTCAGCTGTAGTTTAAAAATGTATAGTGCCGGTATCAGCACTTAACAATACTCGTGAAAATGCCCAGTTTTGTCACCGATATCAGTATCGGTATCCGTGCATCCCTAAACAATAGCATATTGAGAAATTATTTAGAAGTAAATGCCCTATAAATCAATGTGATTTGTATAAAGGTCAATAAAAAAGTGTAACCACAGCCATCTAAGGCATAGCAGACAATCGAATAATAAATCCATACAGTTACGTAAGACTTGTATGATCAAAAGCGATTAAACTGTATAAAGGGTAAAAATAAATCATCCCCGTGTTACAAAATTCATACTACCAGATGTATAAATAAAGTCCCCAGACAATCCCTAGTTCACAAAAAATGCCCAAACACCCTGTAGCACTATTAGAGGTTGGCTCATAACCTATACCTCTAAAGTTAAAAAATAGGCCCTGAAGCGTATAAACGAACTAGATGCCACTCTTCAAAAACTGTCCAGCGACCATAAAACTACCCCAACACCTGCACTGCAGCGTAGTCTGGAGAAAACCCGCTTAGAACTTAATATGCTTCTGACTACGCGGGCTGAAAAAAGTTTGCGCTGGACTGATAATAAATATTACTCCCATAGAGATAAAATAGGCAGTCTACTTGCACATAAACTATCTCCGATACCTCGAACACAATCAGCTCCCAGGATACGCTGTAAATCGGGCACCTATTCTTTAAATCCAAAGAACGTACTTCGAGAGTTTTACTACTTTCTTTCCGCTCTCTATAAATGCCCACCTGTGACTCCATCCTTGGCAATAGAGACCTTTCTCCAGGAACTCCTCCTCCCTTCCTTATCCAATGAGCATTGCCAAATCATGGAAGGACCAATTTCACAAGCTGAAATAAGACTAGACATTAAGCCAGCTAAGGGCTCTTCAGCACCGGGCCCAGATGGTTTTCCCTCTTTATATTATAAAATATTTGTGGATATCCTGGTTCCCCACCTGGAGTCATTTTTAATGCCCTTCATGCTGGGGCGCCTCTGGACCGGACCTGAATCGTGCCTTTATTAGCGTCATACCTAAACCGAATAAAGATTCAGGTGAGATCTCCAATTATAGACCTATATCATTAATAAATAATGACCTTAAACTTTTGACCAAAGTTCTAGCTAATCGATTGAACACTTTTTTGGCTTCTAACATCAGTAGTTTGTAAAATGCTAGAGGGCATAATAAAGGATTACCTGGTAGAATTTGTTCAGGAAAACGGGATAGTTAATGACAATCCGCATGGGTTCAGGAAAACCATTAACAAATTACCTCCATTACAAAAACTAGAGGCCACCACCTAAAATTGGTGGAAAAAAATTCCAGCACAAGGGGCGAAGGGGGTTCTTCACAGTAAGATCAGTTAGGGTCTGGAACACACTGCCACAGGCGGTGATTTCAGCAAATAATGTGGAATTGTTCAAGAAACTTTTGGACGATTTCTTAAGGGACCGTAATATACAGGGGTATAGGTACTCCTAGAATGAGATCCTAATAGGTTGGACTTGATGGACTAATGTCTTTATTCAACCTCAAATACTATGTAACTATACATACATGTGGATCAAGTGGGTTTTATAGTGGGACGCCAAGGCCCAGACCAGATTAGGAGGGCGGTGGATATTGTCTCCCTGCTGCAATCCAATTGGGATGGTGGACCACGGCAGGAGGGCATGTTGCTATCCGTTGACTTGCAAAAGGCGTTCGATTCGGTCTCCTGGCCTTATATGTTCACTTTATTGCGGCAATGGGGCTTTGGTCCGTTTTTCCTTCGGCTGCTGCTTACGCTATATTCTAATCCATCGGCTCAGATTCGTATTCAGGGGCATCTCTCTGAACCCTTTGATATTTGCACGGGCACCCGACAGGGATGTCCTCTATCGCCACTGCTTTTCGCAGTGGCGATAGAACCCCTTGCTATTGCCATCCGCAAGTCAGCTAATGTTAAAGGGGTAAGCTGTGGGGGCGTAGAACATAAATGTGCACTTTTCACGGATGACTTATTGCTTTTTGTTACATCTCCTCTTATATCGGTCCTAATGCTCTAAGAATCTTAGATGAGTTTGCAGCGGCCTCTGGACTTAGGGTCAACGCCTCTAAGTCAACGGCACTTAATGTTAACTTGCCCCCTGACATCTGGACCCGCCTTATCCAAGCCTTCCCGTTTACTTAGTCAAATGACTGTTTACAATATCTGGGGGTTAAACTTTCACCATCCTATTCGTCCCTCTATAAATGCAATTATGTTACACTATATAAACAATTAAAGGCAGATGTAGACAGGTGGTCCTCTTGTACCTTGTCGTGGATTGGCCGCATACATGCGCTAAAGATGACCCTCTTGCCAAAAATATTGTACTATTTTAGAGCACTGCCTATAGCTATTCCTAGGGCGGATCTGTTGTCGTTCCAATCATACCTTATGCGGTTTATTTGGGACCAGAAATCCCAGAGACTTTCTAAAATTATCATGCACTACCCTAAAGAAGTGGGAGGCTTGGGGGTCCCCAATTTAATGCTATATTATTAGGGCAGCTAAATTTGCTCAGTTATCTTCTGTATACTCTTTGGGATACCAGCCGGATTGGTTGGCCCTAGAGTCGGCCTCGGCGTCTATGCTTTAGGGGGTGTGGTCTCACTGGAACAATGTTACATACTTGGTGGGAATGGCCACGTATCCGTCCATATTGGAACAGGCTTTATGCCTTGATATATAAGGTACTTAGCATCCGACCACCTCGTGACCCCCAGTATGCCTTATTTAATCGTCCGGTCCCTGGTCTGTCCAAGCCTGAAGCTGCACTATTGACATTTTTTTTCTTGGCGGCCAAAACTCCCCTAGCTCAGGCCTGGAAAACCCAAACCGTTCCGTTCAACTGAGTCATCTCTAAACTATCGTGGATAATGATACATGAGAAATGGAATAGTATCATCAAAGACACTAGGGATACATTTGAACGGATTTGGGACCCGTGGATGCAATATCTACATGTTTCTCAGTCTCCTTCAGGGGTGTATCTACTGCAAGGCAAACTAGGCATTTGCCTAGGGCAGCACTTTCCAGGGGGGCGCCAAAAAATGCTTCCACCAAACAAGTTAGGTAAGAGAAAAATAAATAAATTATAATGTAAATTATTCAAAACTTTAAACTTAAAATACACCCTGTAGCAGTATGGAATAAATCATCAATTCTACCATTGAACAAACTTAGTTGAAATCGTGGGTCAGTCCCAAGGGATCCAGGACAGTTCAATGGTTTTCTAGGTTCTGTAGAACAACAATGTAATTCCTATTCAAGTAAAAAAGACGAGAGTGGGGCTTTTTAGGCACCAATTGACAAAAACCAAGAGATTACAACATAGTAAATCAAAAGTTCTTTATTATACAAACGTTAAAAAATCTTTAAAAACATGATCAATATGTGCACACGGAAAAAGCAAACTGATCCCCAAATAAACGATTCCAGAATTACAATCTGAGGCTAGGCGATCATAACAGACATAATTGGTATATGTTCTTGTGATCATGCAGCACTCCTCGGGCATGCTTCGATTCGGGGCTCTAGTTTATTTGCCTAAAAACCCCACTCTCTTCTTTTTTACTCGAATTGATATACTAGGGGTGTGGCACTTTATATTCAGGAGCTGGTCACGATAATTTGTTTCAATTTAATTCCTATTTTATCAGCAACCCAAATTGTGGCCCAGAAGCTGTTGGTAGTGTCCACCCAATGTCACATGTACAATACATCTATGGGGTTTATTCACTAAGCTGCCGTAGCAGCCGAGTGACTAACCGACTCCAAGCGAAGTGAGCCGAACGCTGTTCGGCTATTCACTTCAGGCAGGTACGGCTGATTCCAGCCGTATATCGACTGAAATCAGCCGTACATCGGGTGACTTCGTGTGGCTTCGGGTCGGCCGAACATGCTCAGCATGTTCAGCCGACCATGCTCAGCATGTTCGGCCGACCATGCTCAGCATGTTCGGCCGACCCGAAGTGCAGAAGGAGTTCGACTCAGCCGATCCAACATCTGGATCGGCTAAGCCGAACTTCCGGCAGGCTACTTGCTGCTGTTCGGTCTATTCTCATAGATGCCGAACAGCAGTGAGTAAACAGCCGACTCGGCTGTTCTGCTCGGTCCCTCTGTGGTACCGAGCAGAATAGAAAAATTGTTTAAAAAGTAATCCGTCGGCAGCCAATGGCTCTGATGTCAGAAGAAAAAACAAAACAAAAAAACAACCGAGCAGGGAAAGGTTTACTCTGCTCAATCGAGCAGAGTGAACCTTTCTGGGAGAAAGTGTATATCTCCCAGGCGGCCTGGAGCCTATTAGACTCCCGGAGTGTCTGGGGAGGAATGACAGATGGTGTTCCTGATTACCAGGTAACCAGGAACTACATCTTTCATTACACACTGAGAACACGGAGAGGCCGCTGTGATATCATAGTGGCCCGGCCGGGTTCTCAGTGTGTAATGACAGCGTCCCTGGTTACCTGGTAACCAGGGACGCTGATCTCTCTGCAAGTGGCCAGCCGTAAGATGTCAGAAGCAGGCTGTCGGCCGGCCAATGGCCTTCGGCTCGACTGAGATGATTGGCTGACTTCGGGAGCTGTACGGGCTATAGTGAATAGCTCAAACAGCAGCCCCTCAGTTCTACTGAACCGAAGGGGTCCTGGGGCCGAACTAGCCGAAGGATCAGCCGAAGCTATGGCTAGATTCTTCGGCAGCTTAGTGAATAGACCCCTATGAGTACCTGACCTGTTATTGTTTGGGAACAATAGTGTTCTCTGTATATGGTGCAGCTATTATACACTTTGCATGTGGGTGGAATATGAATATGTAACTGTTTCTGAATGTGTAATACTAATTATTATAAAAGTATTCATTTTCACATTATATTTTATAGAAAGGTTGCAGAGGAATATTTGAAAGTAAAGCAAAACCAAAAAAGGTAAGCACCATCCGAAATATTAGCTAGTCCACATTCAAATGCCTCTGCTCTTTTATTACAGCATTTATCATTTTCTGGATCAGGGTCATAGCTCTGAGGTTTCAGTTGAGTTGTATTGTTTTGGGACTAGCATAATGACCTAAAGTGTATGTAAACAAAAAACATTTTTAGTACTGGATAGGATTAGAACTTCTGTAAAGTTTTAATTGCTGTCTGTGTCCCTGATAGGTAGATTCACCCTCTCTATTTGTCCTCTCTAAATGACCATTGTCACAGAGACAGAAAGTAATGCGAAATCGAAAATAATAGAGTTATTACCGGAACAAGTGAGGTAAATCCCCTCAATTTGCAGAGATTGTCTGAACTCCTGTTGCATCTCCAGGACAGTAAGTGAAGGGAAAACAGCCCAATGGATCACATACAGCAAAAAATAAACTAACAAGCTACTCAACCCAAAACAAAAAAAAGGTTTGCCTATCCATACAGTTTAGTGGTGCACCAGATGTCATTGTTCTTTATGTTAAGTATAGTCATTGGGAGCCTTCAGATGTCCATATGTTCTTGTGCATTGGACTTTTTACAATCATAAGGTAGGTTATATTTTTTGGAACCACTACACATATAAGAATAATGTATGGGACCCCAATTCTATATTGGAAGTGGATGGTATGGTAATTAGGTTTCATTTAATTTTGAGGCCTAATACACTTCTGTACATGCTATCCTGTAGTTGAATGGTACACAATCCAACATGCATTTAACCTATAGTAAACAGATACTATTTACATTATCCTTGCTTAACAACAGTTCAGATTCTGTTTAATGTTTTGCAGACTTACAGACTTGCATTGTGAAAATAATCATTAAAGCACAACAGTTAGAGCAATGCAAAACAGGAAGCAGAGCCTGCATATGTAATGTTCAAATATGGCCGTCGTCATCTACACACAGTATATCATTCTAAAACTATATAGAAACAAGTTTTCTTTTTAAAATTAAACACATGGATAAGATAACTTACATATGTTAATATACATGATATACATATCTATTTCATATTGCAATGTTTCTAGAAATGTTACCAAGAAGTTGAAAAGAAGAGAAACGAGAAAAGGAAAAAAAAAGAAGAGAGAACGAGAAAACGAAAAAAGGTAAATTATGGCAAAGACACTAATATACTATATTTACAAAGATACTAAATAACCTGAAATATTTTTTAAAAAATAATTAATTGTAGATATGTTCAAAAAATATTTAATTATAAGGTCAATTTCTTGGCTCCAGTAATAGCCAAGAGAAGGAAGGATAAGAAGATATGGTCTTGAGACACACCACTCTCATATGGATGTATTACCACAATGAATGATACTTAAAGTGTACTGTATATAGACCCAATCACTAAAATCTCATATAAGCTTTAACATGCTAATCTAATTTCAAAAGTAATTTTCAATGTTTTTAAAAGTGCAACTTTCATTTAAAAAATATGTTTGATCTTGTCATAAATGTCCTAGTTCAGGCACTTTCTGCTATAGACAACCTTCTGTCTCTATTTTGCAACTGTGTTACTAGTCTGTCACCCTCTCACATGCTCTCCTAATAGAGACTTCAAGTAGCCGTGCTGATGCATTTTGCATGGGTATAGTCACCGTCAGGAAACCCACACTGAGAAACATCATGCTGCCATCAGTTGAGTGCATGCCTGTAGACAGGAAGTGGTTGCAAAGTGGCTTCAAACACTATAATTTACTTTATTGGTTGCACTTGATGGACTTTTAAAAATTTTTAACCTATGTAACTTGTTTTATTGTATTTTAACAGTCTATTGACTCTCCCTCCAAAAATCCATCAGTTTACTGTAAGAACTTCCAAAACCACTGAAAACAGTTCATAGCCTGCAAGAACAGCACCATTTCCCCCTTCATCCGAAGCCCAAATCCCCTTCGCCTACATCAATTTATTAAATTAATAAATTCAGAAATTATTAGCACTGACATTTGGTAGTGTTCCAGGTTTACAAATGGATGAAGATAATCTCCTCTGCAATATAAACCTCCTACATCTCCCATTGCCTAGATATATGCAGCTATTTAAAAAATAAAAATAAAAACTTAACCCAGAGCTGTGTTCTATTGTTATTCAATTAAGGAGAACTGTAAGTGTTGAAAGTGTGGGTATGGATAGTGAAATAGTGGGAGATGTGACCCGGACATATACAACTGTAAGGTTTAGACTAATAGCTATTTTTGATAGTGCTAAGATGTACTGTTTAATGTCTTTAACAAAATACATGTATTTCCTTAGGCTAAGTATTGGTGACAGTGCAGAAGATTACATGAGGCTCCCAGACCATTCAAACAGCATTCATATTTAATGTAGATCTGATTTCCCTTTCTGTTTTTATAGAACATTTGCAAGAAAGTATCACAAAATAAAAAACAATCAAATGTGGTAAGTAATATATGGAATGAATAAAGACGTTACAATAATGGCTCATGTACACAGGTGTAAAAATATGTATGCAGGATCTTGCTGGCAGAAGGATTCTATGTAAATAATGGTCCGTAGTGCAGACGTTTACTTACTTGTTTATGTCCATATAGAGTTGAGATGCCTACAGGTCAGTGTTGGTAAGCATGCTGCTGCAAAATCTGCAGGATACTCAACTGATGCACTCCAAGTACCAGTGACCTACTCCTGCTGTGTATGTGTCCATCAGCTGTGCAAGAACCAGGAGTACAGAGTCACTAGTCTCTCCCCTTTAACTTAGCAGCTGTTGGTTTTGGCAGATGAGCTGCCACTAAAAATAGCTGTTGAATGATGATCCTGGGCTGTCCCTTGGAAAGCTGTTTCTCCTCCAGTGCTTAAAGGAGAATTATGAGGCTAGTGATTTTCACTCAGCCTCATAATCTGAGCCGACCTGTGACAATGAAACTGTCACAGGTCGGCTCAGTAGATCGGGAAGTGAGCGAACACATAGCGTCGCTCGCTCACTTCTAGATCTATCCGTGCAGAGAGCCGTGACTGTCACTCACGGCTCCCTGCAGGGATTCCCCCCCTACCCTGTCCGATCCTCCAGCGCTGACTGGCATAACGGACGGGGGAGGGGCCAGGTACAGCTGGCTCTGCCTTTAGATAGGCAGAACCAGCTGTCACTCACGCAACTGGGTGGATCCAGACAGAATTGTTGGGATCCGTTCCGGCTGCGGTGTCTCAGTATACCGCGAGCTTTGGGTGACGGGAGAATGTTAGTTTGTGTCCTCCCGTAGGAGAACTATTGGGACAAGCCCTGACCCCATAGTTCTCCTTTAAGGCCCTAACATTCATATGGATGTTTCTTTGACAAGTACCACCTACTTAAAAATTGTTGCTGACCAAGTACACCTCTTTATGGAAACATATCCCCTGATGGCTGTGGCCTCTTTCAGCAGGAAAATGTGCACGACCACACTGCAAAAATGGCTCATGAATGGTTTGAAGAACAAATAAACCAGTTTGAGTTGGTCTCCAAATTCTCCAGATCTCAATCTAATTGAGTGTCTGTAAGATGTGCTGGAAAAACAAGTCCGATGCATGGAGGCCCCACCTAGCGACTTACAGGATGTAAACGCTACTGACAGCTTGCTGCCAGATTCTACAACGTACCTTCAGAGGTCTAGTGGAGTCCGTGTCTCGACAGGTCAGGGCTGTTTGTGTGGGAAACGGGGACCTACTCAATATTAGGTGGTGGTCATAATATTATGGCTGATTGGTGTTCAGAGAAAATTATTCTACAATCATATGCAATGCCTTTCTAACTTATAGTACATTTTCATAAATGTCACATATTTATACTTGGCTTAAATTTGATCTAAACCCAAAAACAACAAAATGTAATATATTGCAGTTTACCGGTCCTTAGATGTGGTGGTTGCATTATTTTCTTATGGTCTGGCTTTTTTTTCTTTTATTTGCACCTAGTAATCCTGCGAATAACACACTTCCTGCCCTAAGGTGACAACACTCACTCCACTGTATCTATAGAGGGAGACTTTTGTTGACACCATAGAACACGTCTTCCTCTCTTTATCTCAATTACATGGGGGTGAGAGGATTAGTAGTTTACATAAGATAGCTTAAAAAAGGAAGATATTATTGTTTTATAAATCGTTTTAATTCACAGGAAGTTATAAAAACACTACTTTTTGGCAAAATGAACAGATATTCTCTGTATTGCTGATAATGTTCTTAACCTACAAAATAAAATTAATGCAGCCACCAATGTATAAGGACTAGTAAGCTGCAATATATTGCATTTTGGTTTTTGGGTTTAGATATGCTTCAAGGTAGAAACGTTAATTTAAATTAAATGCTGTAAATAATTATTGCTTATTGATCAGCTTTGCATTCTGTGTTTACAGAAACTTTGTACAGAAAAAAAAAAGTCAAAGAAGGTAAGAAAATACAAAAACTTACAGCTTAAATCTGTACAAAATGTTGTCGATTTGAATTGCTCTTGGGACTTTAAAAACTGCAATTCTACTTTTATTAGCATGGCTAAAAACTAAAATGCCAAAACTTCTAGAAGTTGATACCTGCTAGTGCAGAGCAGCAAAGGGAACAAATGACCACACAGAACACAGCCCAGTAGGTTATTGTGCCTATAACCATAATTGGTACTTCCCTTTTAATTACTTGCTATTTGCTCAGATCCCCTTGTGTACAAAACAAGATAGCATTTTTAGTTCTGTTATCTTCAGTCTATAGAATGACCAATTAGATTTACCAAGTAATTACTAAAAAAAAAAGCTACACTTCTGGTTCAACCACTTGCTGTCTGGAACAATGTCTTACTATTTCCGCACACATGATAAAATCTAAATTTTTGGCCAGAAAACAGCTTCAAACCCCAAACAATTATATTTTCTGAAAGCAGAGGCCATGTAGAATAAAAAAATGCTAGTTGCAATTTTTTATGTGGCACAGTATTTGTGCAAATGTTTATCA